CATGAATAATAATTTATTTTATCTTCTACTACATGAAATATAACTTTATCAAAACTTAATTGTGATTCTAAACTGCTAAGCATAGTGGTTTTCACATAGGCACTCTTAGAGTATCAATGTGAATAGACACAGATGTCAGGACCATCTTTTAGTTAGATGTAGTCTCTTCTTTGTTTCCAAATTGGGGTTTTCACTTTAATTTATCACATATTTGTCACTCCATATTTTTTTGAGCTATCCTCTTATGACATTCAGTTTAGCTTTTTCTGAGTTGCAGTGAATAGTAAATTAGACAAAACGCAGTCTTGTTAAAGTGAGTAAATATTTAATGAGTATCTGCTCTGTGTTAGGCAGCATATTAAGTGCTAAGGAATACAAGAGTGCACAAAACAGAAAAAGGTTTTATGCTGATGAAGCTTTACTCTAAAGAGAAAATTTGTCTTCATTTTTTACTAATAGTCTTGTTTTCCACTTTTTATTTTTATGCTTTAATTCCTTTTATCGATACACTAAACTTAAAAGTATGTACTATATCTTATTTATTTTAATTTACTTGGCATCTAAGACATTGTCTGGCACAAGGTATGTATTTATATACACTAAATACATTTGCAAAAAAATGAGTAAATAGAATAAAAATTATTCCTTTTGGTTACAATCTCAAGCAAAATATTGTTTAATTTATCTCGTAAATGTTATCCCTTCATATTTTTGAATTTGTTGTCTTCTCTTTCCTAATTTATCATTAAGGGTATGAAAATATTCTAGTGTTCTTTGTATTTGTATTTGATCTGATTTGCCTATAGCCTCTAGTTTCTTCTCTCTCAGAATTATTTGTATATTTTTTCTGTTCAATAAGTTAAAGTGTTTTAATTAACTCTATACACTCTTTAAATATTATCAGGAAGATGAAGCTCAAGAAAATAAGAGCAAAATGAAAATGGTTGAGAAAAATATGGAGCAACAAAAGGAAAATATGGAACATCTTAAAAGTCTAAAAATTGAAGCAGAAAACAAGTATGATGCAATTAAATTGAAAATTAATCAACTGTCAGAGCTAGCAGATCCACTTAAGGTATCTATTGTTGGCATTCTCTTATATATGTATTTTATGTTTTAGTTTTATATCTACAATGTATTTGTTGTATGTTACCCTGTGAGAATTTTTGATTAAATACAAATATAACCAAAATGGTTATATTCTTTACATTCCAAAAATGGAATGTAAAGAATGGTAGAAACCAAACCTTTATCACTAGGTCAGTTAATATTAAACACTTCTGCTTATGGCTTTAGGAGAGTAAATCACCAAATTTCCATCTATTTCCCCCAGAGGATTATAGCTTTTGTTGCCTTTTTATTTTGTGATGTTTTTTCAGAACCAGGAGCAGGGACATCTTGTACGTTGGAGTTTTCTCATCTTTGCTTTAGTAACTAAAGGATTAGTTGCTGTGAAAGCCATCTTGAAATAAAGTACTCAAACTGGTAAAATAATGATACCAGTAGACTGCAATGTTAGGTGTATATAATGTAATACATGCAGCAACTAGTAAAAAAAGCTATACAAAGAGATTACACTCAAAAATACTATAGATAAATCAAGGTGGAATCCTAAGAAAAAGCTTAAGTAACCCCCATGTGGCAGGAAAAAGAAGACAGATTAACAGCAAAAGGAAAAAAAAGACAAAAAATAAAACGCAGACTTAAGCTCTAATATATGAATAATTTACATTAAATGTAAATGATCTAAGTAAAGAAAAGACAGGTATGGGCAGAGCTGATTAAAACATGACTGTATGTTATCTATAACTGCAGTCCCCAA